AGATCAGGTTCGTTCCTGTAAGCGTTGCAATAAAATAGATGAAAGCCAACAATGTTGGACATGGTAGGTTCACGGGTAGGGGGGGGGGGGGGGAAGAACGGGGGAAAACACAAAACAATCAGGCGCAAAAAGACATCGATAAAAAACCAAAAGAACTTTTTATCAGGTTCGTTCCTGTAAGCGTTGCAATAAAATAGATGAAAGCCAACAATGTTGGACATGGTAGGTTCACGGGTAGGTGGGGGGGGGGCGAAGAACGTGGGAAAACACAAAACAATCAGGCGCAAATAGACATCGATAGAAAACCAATAGAACTTTTATAGAGCAACTTGATGTTATGGCGTAAATACGTGAATAATTCAGGTGGGGAATTACGCGATAGAAAACCAATAGAACTTTTATAGAGCAACTTGATTTTATGGCGTAAATACGTGAAGAATTCAGGTGGGGAATTACGCGATAGAAAATCAATAGAACTTTTATAGAGCAACTTGATGTTATGGCGTAAATACGTGAAGAATTCAGGTGGGGAAATACGCACCGCTTGAAATTCGGGTACACCTCTGTTGTGCAGCATACCTGGCATTGATGAGCATGCGGACGTCAACACTACAGGTAGGCATGTGCGCGCGGGCTTAATGCACAGAATTAGGCAATAACACAGGTAGGACGTGTGGGATGTCATTCAAGAACAATGCTGGTGAAATACACGTGTATTCGGGGTCAATCTATGAACATGTCAACACTCAGGTATGATTTGTCATAGATGGATGGCCTTATGAACATGTCAACACTCATGTATGAGTTGTCATAGATGGATGGCCTTATGAACATGTCAACACTCATGTATGAGTTGTCATAGATGGATGGCCTTATGAACATGTCAACACTCAGGTATGAGTTGTCATAGATGGATGGCCTTATGAACATGTCAACACTCATGTATGAGTTGTCATAGATGGATGGCCTTATGAATATGTCAACACTCATGTATGAGTTGTCATAGATGGATGGCCTTATGAATATGTCAACACTCATGTACGAGTTGTCATGGATGGAGGGCCTTATGAATATGTCAACACTCATGTACGAGTTGTCATAGATGGATGGCCTTATGAATATGTCAACACTCATGTATGAGTTGTCATAGATGGATGGCCTTATGAATATGTCAACACTCATGTACGAGTTGTCATGGATGGAGGGCCTTATGAATATGTCAACACTCATGTACGAGTTGTCATAGATGGATGGCCTTATGAATATGTCAACACTCATGTTTGAGTTGTCATAGATGGATGGCCTTTATAACAAGAGACATAATTAGCGCTTTATGAAAAAAATTGAACATGTTGGTCTTTTAATGTACAATATGATATGCTGGTGGCTTTCTTATACACTTTTGGGGTAAAATCTAGTGCGTTACTCATACTGATTGGATGTAACATATCACATACAAACGTTTCAAAAACATTAACTTACTTGCACGAATCAATAAAATATTTTACATAATTAATTGTTTTTAAACACATACATTGTAGGCATTATAATATAGCAATGATGCCATCTATCAATACTACAGTTTAGATAGTCAACCGTAGCCTGTGAATAAAGTCAACATTTGGCAAACGAACAGTCTTTCAAAGAAAAGAAAACAAAAGTGGACTTTAAAATATATTTAGACATTCAACACGTTGAACGTGAAAGAGATTTAAACAATGATTAATATGTCAATCTTGATTATTTTGTCATTGTGGTCATTTTTCAGACTATTCCCGTGACATGCATGCAAAGACACGAGGAACCGAGAAGCCACACATCACCCACTTCCTTTACAGAGTCTTCTCAACCTGACCAGTGGACACACTATGGACTAACCAGCGGACACAATACGGACTGACCAGCGGACACAATACGGACTGACCAGCGGACACAATACGGGCTGACCAGCGGACACAATATGGACTGACCAGCGGATACAATACGGACTGACCAGCGGATACAATACGGACTGACCAGCAGACACAATACGGACTGACCAGCGGACACAATATGGACTGAGCAGCGGACACAATATGGACTGACCAGCGGATACAATACCAGCTGAATGTCATGGATCGAGTTTGCTGGGTGGCAAAGTGGCCTCAACTGGCTCAAACCAAATAGCTGGTGGTTTTGAGCTCAATCCCTACCAAAGCCAGCATCCCAAGCACCCCCCCCCCCGGTGAATGGGACTCATTAGTCTTGGACGGCCATTTATCTAAGAGAAGGTGAACTCTGAATTTAAACCAGGAGCCAGAATGATTAATAAATTGATCGTCGGTCCTCATATATAGAAAGAAAGAATATTGATGCCTCTTCCATCGTGCCTATTCCAAAACCGTATGTAATCTGAAAAGGTTGCTATGGCCGTTCATGAAAGCTGACAGATCATTTAAAAAAAAAAAAAAATTCAAAAGACGGTTTAGCTGGAGGTAAGATAGCTCAAACTATGTAATTGTACTTCATTTTAGCGTGTTTTAGATCAAAACAACATTAACTACAATGGTATAGTCCAACCATTAACCCCCCCCCCCCCCCCCCATCCTTGTAATATGAAATTGCCAGCACCATAGTTTTACTCGTACCTGACATCTAGATTTTGTGACATTTCTTATTGTTGGGTCTACAAGACACAAAGATGGGGGCAGAAGATTGTGACAGAAGATGGTGGCTGAAGATGGCGGCAGAAGATGGTGTAGAAGATGGTGGCTGAAGATGGTGGCTGAAGATGGCGGCAGAAGATGGCGGCAGAAGATGGTAGATGAAGATGGGGGCAGAAGATGGTGGCTGTAGAGGGTGGCAGAAGATGGCGGCCGAAGAAGGTCGCTGAAGATGGTGGCTGAAGATGGTTGCTGAAGATGGTGACTGAAGATGGTTGCTGAAGATGGTGGCTGAAGATGGTTGCTGAAGATGGTGACTGAAGATGCTGGCTGATGATGGTGGCGGGAGACGGTGGTTTAATTCAACGGAAACTTCTCGAGGTCAGCGCCACCCCTGGATGACATTGAAATGAATGCGTCACGCCCATTGACCCCACAGCTCCACGCTTCACTGACGCTTACAGTTTAAACGAATGATCGATACAATCCTAAACAGCCAAACAAAGAAACAAGCAAAAACAGGATTATTCTTCCAAAGAAAAACATTAAAACAAAAAAAAATACATTGGCATTATGATCATTCAATTCAGTTTTAATTTTAAAAGTTGGGGATCTCACTTCAATGGGCGGGGCAGTTTAGGCCATGTGCTTGAGATAGGCTTGACGACGAGCACCCTGGGCATGCCAGCAATCAATAGGCACAATCCAGGCTTGTGCTGTCTAAATCGATTGGTAGAGTGATTCTACTCCCAGCCTGATGGGAAATATAACAATTTTTTTGGTTAAAAAACACTCAAGGGTTGGAAACGGAAGGAAGAAACTTTGGTCTAGTTGTTAAGTTCATGTTGTCGGTTATATTCCTGTCAATGGTGGTGTCTCGATCCGGGGAGAAAACCCATTTGATGTCGTGGTTCGAGTCTATAGGGGGGGCGAAGTAAGCTCCCTGCACTAATGTCGAGGTGCTCTTTCGATAAATTCTTGGCGGCTGTTTCGGTAGCCCGATAATGTGTTGACGGTATTCTCTAGATGTTCAAAAATCTTTGGAAGAGGCTGTGAGGAGGGAGGGGGGGAATGGTGGGGGCGGAGATGGGTAAAAGGGTGGTCTTCATACTAAATAGTACCCGTAATTATGAGTGACTCATCTTTAGGACTGTCATTAGCAGTTATCTTGTGTGTGTTAAAAGTCTCTTCGAGTGGCAACAACCACAGCTTTCCGCACGTTTCCAAGACCCTAAGCTGTTGGCACGTTCCTGGGACAGTTCAGTTTTGCGATTTTAACAGTTCATGCAATTATTGATCAATGATCGGTCCAAAATCGATACCAACCAGAAGCTTCCAAACACTATAGATTCAGATAATTTACACGGATTTTATTTAAAAACTCCACCACTACCACCCACCCCCCCCC